TTAAGAGTTTTTAAGAGTTTTAGCCAAATGCATTATAATATAGTATAGATATGAAAATTTATTTATTTTTTTCTTTTAGAGGTCGTATACCAGATGCTTATTTGGGTAAACGTTTATCAAGTTATATTATCTTATCAGATGAATATGGTAAGAACAAAAAATCTTATCCAGTAAAAACGAGGCAAAGATTGAGAGTCTTATCCGGTAAGTGAGGACAATGACTTTTACCACGATCAACTCTTACCGGGTAAATTGTCGCATAGAAAACCGTTTTTGCTGACTAAAATCTTACCCGATAAGTAAATAATAGTATTGAATTATTTTAATTGATTTCTCTAAATTATATTCTTTTGATTTTCACCTTTATTTTTACCATTTTAATTTCCAAAATGGGAAGAGCAGTAAAGATTTCTTGAATAATTTCACTCCAAATTTTGGGTAAATCCCAGGAATGAATGAATGAATGATTTATGAGGAAGGGGTGAAAGTGAATATATATATATATATATATATATATATATATATATATATATATGAATTGACAACAAAACAAAACAAAAAGGATGAGCACCACCTCTGCCTCCATCTATCGTTTTTCTCTGCCCACATAAACCCGACTCTCGAACCAGCAAATCTTGAATCATTTATTTCGATAATTTACAGTCAAGTCCCAGCTGCCCTTTTCTCGGATCATTATAGTTGAGAGTCAAAATCCGAATCTTTTTGATACACTCACTTCATCCGCTTATAGTAGTCGCCAAATCCTCTGTTCTTCAGCAAAATACGACTCTTTCCTTTTGGTGTGCTTCTTTGGTGCTCATTCAAACTACTCAATAAAGGTTAGGTTTCTTCTCGTGGTATGGATTCCATATTATTGTGTTGTGATTTGAGTTTTTTACGATTTGGGTTTCTATGTTTCAATCAAGAAATCACAAAAATAACCAGAAAGATTGCTGGTTTTTTGTGGGTATATCTTAATAGGTTTGAATCACAATTTGGGTTTCTCCCAATTGGGTTTATTTTTCTTTTTCTTGAACGCAAAATCAACAAAAAGAGTGAGAAATTGGAGATTTTGTGTCTGTATGTGTTAGGAGAATTGACTTCTATCGTATTCAGCAATTGGGTGTTTTGAGTGGTGTCTGAGTTCTTGATTTGAATCTATCAAACAGAAAACTATAAAAGAAATTGCTGCTTTAGTGTGTGTGTGTTTGGACTTATTCTTTCAGCCCTTTTATTGTACTTAAATCTTTATAAATGTCAATGTTTTTGTATAAAGATTTGAACGCTATAGGAACGTTTGCTGCTTTATACAAGTCAGATTCATTCTGTCAGTGTTTAAAAACATGAAATCTGTGGTTTAGAGATTAAATGGAACAGTTGTAGCTTAAATCTTGAAATGATTTTGCACCAATTTCAAAATTGGGATTTGGGAACATGATTTGGTGGCTTGGAATTTGAATTGAATCAATTTGGGTTAAGATTTAAACTCGAGATGAGCTCGAGTTCAAGTTGATTCCTAGTCAACCTGAAACACAACGATTTCGATGGGCGTTGCCCCTTTGATTTGGTGTGTTAGATTGTGACTATGTTAATTTTAGAAGTTCATTGTCATGATTATAACATTCAAGAATCTATGAGTTGTGGCTTATTTGTTGTGCAAAGAACATTTTTGGTTGGTTTTCTAAGTCATGTAGGATAAAGTTGTCTGAATGGATTAATCTATTTGTATAAACGGGGAAGGTTTTTGTTTGGGAGAGATTTTTCCATAGATGGAAGGAGCATGTTTTTTAATTGGGGCGGAGTAGGTTTAGAAAGAACTTGGCTTTCTGCATAACGTACCCTGTAGAATCTTACTGAATGAGCCACTTTATATATATTTAAGCCACTACCAATGTACAACTAACCGAATAAGCTGTCAGTCCCATTAAACTGCTAACAAACAGGTCCTATGTGGTGCTAGTGTTTTGAGGGATTATTCTCTAGAATTTCTATTAAACTCTTTGCAGGAAAAGATGGTTGCTTTCGGGAAGAAGCTGAAGGACAGACAAATTGAAGAATGGAAAGGGTACGTTGCATTGTGCTTGAAAGATTTCTTGATTTGATCGGTATTGAAATAATTACATAAATGTATATGATTTGGTATAACATTGCAAATTTTCAGATATTATATCAATTACAAACTCATGAAGAAAAAGGTAAAGCAGTATGCTCGCCAGATTGAGGCCGGAGGGCTTGAACGCAGATATGTTCTCAAAGATTTCTCAAGAATGCTCGATAACCAGGTGAAAAAAACACATTAATTCAACCTTTTTTCCGTTCATAAAATGTGTTTTTTGAGCTTTTCGTCAAAGGGTATGTTCTGATACCGCTTATTATCAACTATGTGAATGCAGATCGAGAAGATCGTTCTTTTCTTATTGGAGCAACAAGGGCTGCTTGCAAGCAGGTTAGACGCACTCGGGAAAGAGCAAGATGCTCTTCAAGAGGAGCCGGATTTCTCAAGAATATCCGATTTACGAGAAGCCTATAGAGAAGTTGGAAGAGATCTATTGAAGCTTCTGTTTTTCGTTGAGGTTAATGCCATTGGACTGCGTAAGATTCTTAAGAAGTTTGACAAACGTTTTGGCTATAGATTCACCGATTACTATGTCAAAACTCGGGCTAATCATCCTTATTCCCAGCTTCAACAAGTCTTTAAGCATGTGGTAATACGCCCTTCTTTCTTCTTCTTCATTTTCGGGTTTTTATCTATGCCATATTTTGTCTTAACTAAGGAGCTATTTGGTTGGTTTTCCATTAAGTCATGTATGGATAAAGTTGTCTGTGTGGATTAATCTGTCTTGTATCAGACTGTATCGATTGGGAAATTTTTTGTTTGGGAGGGTTTTTCATGGATGGAAGGAGCGTGTTTTATAATTGGGAGGGGCAGTATTGGTAAAAAACTTGGCTTTCTGCATAATGCTCCCCTAGAAAGCTTACTGAATAAGTCACTTTTTGTATCATTAAGCCACTACCAAATAGTAGTTATGTATAACTGACCGAATAAGCTGCAAGTCACATTAAGCTGCTAACAGACAGGCCCTAACATCTAATGGAACTTGCAGGGTTTAGGGGCAGTGGTTGGAGCCATATCCCGTAATCTTGCTGAACTTCAAGATCGTCAAGGGAGCTACTTATCAATATACGATCAACCCGCTCTTCCTCTCCAGGTTTTTTCCCATTTACTTTCTGCAAATTAACTTAAAATCATGGCAGAAGTTATTGGTAGCCAGAACTTTGAGCTTATAAAGAGCTCACAAATCTACTTTTCAATCCATATGAGACGGGTTGTAGGGTTTTTGTGGTGCGGCGAAAACCACAAACCGCAAACCGCACCGCATATGCAGTTTAAGCATTTTCCCGAACCTAAACAGCACCGCATACACCTCAAACCGCAAAAAACCGCACCGGAAACGCGGTGTGGTGCGGTTTATTGGTTTGTATCTAACGCACTTTACGCCCACAATCCAATATTATAAAATCAACGATAACGTGACCACAGTCTAAGAAAAATATAAAATTTGAACATGTCCACTTTCCAAATATATATTACATAAATTAGAAATAGTCTAACAAATAAAAAATTAACTTCAAACTAAATCGTTGAGACTTGAAAGTAACTGAGGCAACAGGTAAAAGTCGCACATTAACACAAAATTGAAAAAAAAATGGTAAAAACGTGTCGTGAATGTTGATAAATGCCTAAAGAGCCTAATGGATTATTGGACTATAGTTTATTAATATTATTGATCAAAGTCCAAAACTTTTGACTTATTAATAGACCATCAAGAAACGATTTAAAATATTACACAAATTTAGCAATTATTATTATTATATACATATATGTGTGTGTTATAGAGAAAATAAAAAAAATATTGACATATAATTTACGGTGTGGTGCGGTTTGACAACAAAAACCGCAAACCGCACCGCATAGTGCGGTTTGGTAAAAATGCAAACCACAAACCGCACAAGAAGTACTAAACCGTGCTTTGCAGTGTGGATGGTTTATGTGGTTTCGGTTTAGATGAACACCCCTAACCCGTTGTTACCAGATGGATGAATGGGAATTGCTCATCTCGTCTACGATTAATATATCATTGTCCACTTATCTGATAAATGGTATTTGCAGGAACCTGTAATCGACACCATAAGAGCAGCAGTTGACCGATTAAGTTACTCAACGAATTTTCTCACGTTTTTGGGCCAACATGCTCTTATTATGCAAGAGGAGTTACCAATGCCTACGGAGGAACCCGTTGATGATCAAAGATACCATTTTATGTCACTACTGTTGAATCTAGCAAACACGTTTCTTTATATGGTGAATACTTATATCATCGTTCCAACTGCTGATGATTATTCTATGAGCCTTGGAGCTGCAGCAACGGTTTGTGGGATTGTGATTGGTGCAATGGCTGTTGCCCAGATATTTTCATCGGTTTATTTCAGTGCTTGGTCTAACAGATCGTATTTCAGACCCTTGATCTTTAGCAGCATTGTTCTTTTCATGGGCAACGTTATGTATGCAATGGCTTATGACTTTAACTCGATTGCAGTGCTTTTACTTGGCCGCTTATTTTGTGGGTAAGTTTTCCGTATTTTACTTGTTTCTGTCTCTATGCTGTTCTTCGTTATGGAAGGTGTTCATAAGATGATGAATAATCGTTTAAGAAACGTAGGATCCCAGAATTCTTTTAGAAATTTCAGTTAAAAAACACATGAAGATGTGTATATAATTTGGGTCGGGTTCAGAGGAAAACCGCAAAAAAATGAAAAACTGAAGAACACCCGGTAACATGTCCATACCATCTGGATGAATAGATACCAAAGTGTTCCTCAGGGTTTTTTTTTTGGGGTCTTCCCCTGAGCCTCCCTCTATAATTTTATGGTTTTTGCTTAAAGTGGAAACTAGTTACTTAAAATATAGGAACACATCTTGACTTTTATGTGGTCAACTCTACATTTTTAAGAATTCGAACTTGATCACATTTCGTTCCAAGTTTTCGCTGTCGTTTTTCTCTTTTGTACTAGCTGCTACAAATCTGAATGTGGGTATCGGCTGTTTGATTTCGCTATCATTCCAACTTGATTTTTCGTTAAATTGATTTTTTTTCCTGTTTGACCTCAAAAGTCAAACTATACTTAGTTGACAATCCTTGGTTTTTATTATGGACAGTTTGGGTTCGGCTAGGGCCGTGAACCGACGGTATATCAGCGATTGCGTGCCTCTAAAGATCCGAATGCAGGCTTCAGCCGGTTTTGTTAGCGCGAGTGCTCTCGGTATGGCTTGTGGACCTGCACTTGCTGGCTTGTTACAAGTCAAATTCAAGATTTACAAACTGACCATCAACCAAAACACATTGCCTGGCTGGGTTATGGCTTTTGCTTGGTTGGTTTACCTTATTTGGCTGTGGATCTCATTTCGAGAACCCGCTCATCCTACCGAGGAGACTCATGCACCCGAATCTGCTGCTGGTACGTCTTTTCACTACAACAAAAAAAAATAGATTTATAGGACACCAGTAGTTATAAGGTTAATGAGACTCACAACTTATTCAGTCAGCTACAAATACTGTTTGGTAGTGGCTTAATGATATAGCAAGTAGCTTATTTAATAAGCTTCTAGAGGGAGCTTTATATAAAAAGCCAAGTTTTTTTCTAAACCTGTCTCTCCTAGTTAAAAAACACCTCTTTTCATCTATGGAAAAACCTTCCCAAACAAAAACCATCCCAAGCTATATAGACAGAATAATCCACACATACATCTTTATTCATACAGGATTTAATGGAAAACCAACCAAAAGGCCCCTAAATGACCTAATGATTGCTTTATGGAACTTAAGTTTATAGGACTAAACAATTGTTCGTCTTATATAAATGCTTCATGCCTGTAAAGTTAAGACTATTTTGTGGATCTTTACTCCAGGTCCAGTCAATAATGATGTTCTTGAAAAGGGTATAACTCAACCGTTGCTCATAAGTTCGGAGGCACACCAAGATGACGAAGAAGATGATCCAGAATGTGATGCTAGCGAAGAAACTTCAGAAGACTCACGTGCACCTGTTAATTCTATTGGAGCAGCTTACAGATTACTCACGCCTTCTGTGAAGGTTTGCCGTCATTTATATATAGATATACAGGGTCAGGTTCAGGGGAAAACCACAAAAAATTGAAAAACTGAGCCTGGTAACCATTCATCTAAGACAGTATGTACATGTGCATACAAGTAATATAAAAGCAATTTGTCCGATATGTACATGTGCATTACATGCACACATGCATAGAAACCAAGAAACAACTTCAGTTACTTGTGTGCACATGTAGATATCGTAGAGATGAATGGTTACCATGATGTTCCTCAGTTTTTCATTTTTTGGAGGGTTTTACCCCTGACCCTCCCTCTCTCTCACTATATATACAATTAGACTTCTTTGGTGATAAATTTTGATCTTTGAGTGTTACCGATGTTTTTTCAGGTTCAACTGTTGATATATTTCATGTTAAAGTATGCGATGGAGATTTTGCTATCGGAATCTAGTGTCGTCACTACATACTACTTCCATTGGACTACCGGAAAAGTTGCCATCTTTCTTGCATGCCTTGGCTTGACCGTTCTTCCAGTAAATGTTGTCGTCGGAAGTTATATCAGTAACATGTTCGAGGACAGGTAAATCTTTTCGATATTTTTTTAAAGATTACATACATTAAAAGTTGAGAGTTGACCTATCACGAAAAAGTCGAGACAAGGAAGATTGTTGTGGTCTGGTCACATTCTTAGGGGACAGAAAACCCACTTTTTTCCAAACCTATCCCTCCTAATTAAAAAACGCCCTTCTTCCGTTTATGAAAAAACACTCCCAAAGAAAAACCTTCACAATCTATACAGACACATTAATTCACATAGACAACTTTATTCATACAAGACTTGATGGAAAACCAACAAAACAGCCCCTAAATTAGACTAGGGGTGGAGTAGTTTCCATATTTGGGTTATGCTTTTTCCTGTACCTGCTTTTAGTTTTTCAAAAAATTATTTTATCTGGTTTTCTCTCCGTCACACTTTTCACAAGTAGGGGGTAGAGGTCAAATCTTGCCAACATCTTATCCTCGCGAGATCCTACCTCTCGAATGGATATACTGCGTTTGTTTAGTTTGATTTATACATTTAAAGTTGAAACCATTATCGTGATGTTTGTTTCCTTTCAGGCAAATCTTACTCGTATCTGAGATCGTGGTCTGTCTCGGCATTCTCATGAGCTTTCACGTTGTCATTCCGTATTCTGTGCCACAATACGTTGTTTCGGGACTCATCATGTTTGTCTCCGCGGAAGTATTAGAAGGTACGTTTTGTTTTCTAATGTAGTCCACTCGTAGATAAGTCAACTAACTAATTAACACGAGATAAGACGTTTTGGTTCGTTTTCAGGGGTAAACTTGTCACTTCTGTCTCGGGTTATGTCATCGAGGCTCTCTCGTGGGACATTTAACGGTGGGCTATTATCAACGGAAGCCGGAACGATTGCTCGAGTGATTGCCGATGCCACGATAACGTTGGCCGGGTATTTGGGGGAGAGCAAATTGTTGAACGTGACGTTATTGCCATCGCTCATGATTTGCATAATGTCTATCGTGGCTACTTGTTTCACCTACAATTCTCTCTACTGATATATATATACACACATATATGTATGTATATGTAGATGATGGAGTATGTTGGTATGTACGATAGGCTAAACATTTATATTTATTGGTGTACATTCTTAAGGGATGTTACGTTTTAATTAATCATTATGCATTCTTTTATTATGATTTGGTATTTTGATTGTTGATGATTTTTGAGGATTTGGTCAAAAAGTTGATTACTGACAACTCTAACTGGTCTCACACGGGACCTGATTTCAAGGATGCCAATGTGAGGAGGCATTTTTTGGCTCGCTCAGCAGCTGAGGCTAACAGAATCTGGGATCGAACCCAGACCTGTCTTGTATTTGGACAAAGTCATCCTACCTCTTTGTCAACTGAGATACATGCCAGAGGCATTTTCGATATATAATCAGTGACTTGTATCCAATGGGTTCCCGAGAGATGATGATGATGGCGACTATTATTATTCTTATCTGCTAAACGGGAATCCAATGCACGCCTCACAGTTGAAATGGATTACTTTCCCTTGAGAGAATGGCGATGGAGACGGGTGGTATGTTATCCACCTATCAAATTGGAGTCTTTTTAGAATATCAGAATTCTAGACGTCTGCATGGTTCATCTGTCAACTTTCACCTTTTTTGTACGATATGAACCATTGCACACTTTTACTTCCCAAACTTAACCGGTTTTTTATATTTTCTTCCAACTCTTCCCCTGGTCTTGCTAGAGAACCAAAATAGTGTAAATTTTTGCCACTATAAGACCGATTTAGAGACTAATCTTTTCCCGTTAGATAAAAGTCACGTGTCTCAAAATTTCAAATCCCACCGATCACGTAGAGCATCATCATTAAACTCTTTCCCTAATCTTAGTTTATTTTCTCTCTCCTTAATAAATCAATAACACGAAACCGTTCATTTGACGAATACAAATCAGACTGAAAAATTTGAGAAAAATGATTTTTATCCCACTCAACAATTCCCTCACACGACTCATTTCATCCGGATTCACGTTGGAAATAAACTAAAATAAAAATATTCCAGACATTTTGCTGTAAAATTATGTGTGCAAGTATTTCTTAAGTTTTAAGTATTAGTATGATGTAAAAATGATGAAAGCTTTAGGTCAATTTTAAATGATGTAAACGCTTATCTCATTTTGAATCAATAATTGATTGTTTTTATAATGCTTACACCATGATCATATAATGACACATTTTTTCTTGCCTATATAAGAAAGTTTTCCCCCCTAATTTCTAATTGGAAAATATTTCTTCCATATATTCTCTCTTGTTATTGAAATCACATATGGTTTAGTTCATTCAAACAATCACACCTACATTCAACAACTTTGGTCTAAATACCAAATGGTCCCTCAACTTCAATTTCCATTAATTGACACAACTATTATCTGTACTTTACTTTCTGTTATTTATGAACAGAAGGTTTAATGTGTTACAACATTAAAGTTACTTGATATTGTACAATGATTTGTTATACTGTAAATAATATAACGGATTTGTATATCTTAAAGTGAAATATATAAGTATTTTGGTAACCGATGATCCCTTAAATTTAAGATTACAAATACTTAACTGTATACGCATAATTTTTAAAAATCTCTAAAATTTATAAAAAAATCAAAATTAAAATGCATAATATTTTATATTTTATATAGAAAATAGAAACATTAACTCCAAAACTGTACAACCAGAAAGTTGTTGACACATTAAATGCAACCAACAATAACACTTAGGTTCCTTGCTGTATAAACACCAAAAAGAACCTTCCACCAATTTTTGCATCTTAACCATCCACTTTTTTTGCTTCTTTAAAACTTTCCATTAATTAAAACAAAGTGACTTTTTAATTTTTTTTAATCTTATATATTTAATAAAAAAGACAATCCATTTTTTCACGTCTAAAAAAAAAATTTTACTTGTGAAAATAAGTTGAGCGGGTGTACAAGACCCCGTTTGGGGATTCATGGTTCCGTTATAAGGGAAACATGTTACGTTTTTGAAGAGTGACATCGTTTGTTTTGTTGGATGTCGCCGTATAGCTTTTGCAACTGAAGTTTTGGTGTAAGTCTTTGATGACAGAGTTAGTAAATGTTGCTCACTTTGTGTTAAAACCCCTGGTTCGAGTCCCACCAATATTAGATTTTTTAGCTTAAATTTTGGTGTTTTTAATATGTTTTAGAAAAAATTGTAGTTTGTGGGTATCTTTTCTATATGAGGATAAGGAACCAATCTATACTAATATTGTAAAATATTTCAACAAGTTTATATTTATAGCCAAATTGTCTTATCACCCTGTAAATCTACTAGGTCCGCCTCTACAACTGACCTCACACAAAAACTGCTCCTTAAAAATCACATGTAAGAAAATATTTCAGAGCTGACTAAACGGTTGAAACTAATAGAGAGAGTTTAATTCCGTTACAGAGGAAAATCCCACTTTCACTTGATGGTATAAATATTGAAATTTTGGATTTATGATTCTAAATCAAGTTATGGGGAAAAAAAATGAGAATTGAGGGTGTTAAATTTTTAATTTTAAACTCCAATATAAGTCTTGTATGGTGAAAATTTAAAACATGGATGTCTTTATTGAATAAAGAGTAGTTCAAACATAGAAGTTAAGATGAGAACTGTAAGAAGAGATTTAGATCTGATATATTTCATTAGTACTGATTTAATGTTTCTTTTCAATTTGAATTGATCCATGATGAAGATCTCTTCTTACCAAGTTTACCATAACTCTCATTCTCACTGGAAATCAACTAATTCTTTATTGTTTTATGAAAAATTGGCAAAAACCAAACACAAATATTGACTTGCATAGTACCATGCATTTCCATTTCAAATAAATGATTTAATTGCGATAATGTCATTCAACCACAATGTTTGATTTGACGTGAATCTTAAAAAGTGGTTTCAGGTGCTGTTTATTTTTTAAGATGTGTTGAAGTCTAAAGTTTTATTTTATTTCTGATTAATAAGAGGTGGTGCTGAATTATGAAATCTGAATCAATAAGACTGTTTGTTTTTATAAATTGAAAAATGTCTGAAGTCTGAAATCATAATCAATAGTTTGTTTTTGTAAAATCAGGTACAAACATTTTGCAAAATTCTCTTGACTTTCATAATATTTCCATTGTCGAAATTCATCTCAACAATTGCTTAACAGAGGGAACATATTAAGAATCTTTTGGATACCTTTCAGACTTCCAATGTTATTGGGAATGCCACCGGTGAGTTTGTTTACGGATAGATCGATACTTGTAATAAATGATAGATCATCAATAGAAGTATTTGTTTCACATTAATCTTCTAAGCTAACATATACGTGCAAAAATTAGAGAGAGAGAGAGAGAGAAGGTGGGGGCGTCCATTTCATATGGGTGATGAAAGGACGGTGATGTCCCTGGTGGAGAAAGAAACAATAGCCAAAGAGAATCAAAGAAAAGGGGAAATAAAAGGAATTAAAATATTAGTTTACCTCTTGTTTGTTCAGACCCTATTAAGTGGTAATTAAAAAACAAACAATCTAAATTACAAAAGGTCTGAACAAATCAGACATAAATGGTAATTAAAAGCTGAAAATGAAAAAACAAACAAAGCCATAGTTATTACCTAAATATGCCTACTAATTTAGATCTAAGTGTATGACCATATAAAATGTAGGAAAATTGATCCAAGTGACCATATTCTACAACTAAATTGATCTCATAATCATTTCTTTCCAAACTTTACCCAAAAGTCACTAGGTTTGCAATACCTAGTTGCGGACCCACTAAATGACAAAAAAATTTAGAGTTTTTGTAGGTCCGTAATTATTATGGATCCTGCCCAAAACTCATTTTTCATGAATCCTTAATGCCAGATCCATAAGTGTCATCCTTCATAGGAAAATGGTTTTTGGGCCTAATCCGTAATAGTTGCAGACTGATGGTTACGGATTTGGCCCAAAAACGTTGATTTTTTTTGTGGTTTAGTGGTTTGCGATTATTGTGAACCTAGTGACTTTTGGGTAAAGTCCGGAAAAAAAATGGTTAGAAGGTTAATTTGGTTGTGAAATATGATTATTTGAGTCAATTTTCGTAAAAAATACCTCCATATCGTTTTTGCTATAGGCTTAGGAGTTCATTTCATAGTATTATATAGTTGCATTTGCAACATGGTTTTAAATTTTTATTCATAAATCGACAATGGTAATGCAATCCTAATTAACTGTGTGGTATTAATAGTAATGAATGTCTATCTTGTATTTGAATTTATTTATTACTTGATTTTATGAAGTTCAAACATAAAGAATTAACAAGTTATATATATATATATATATATATATATATATATATTTAATAATAAATTATAAACTTAAATTATGTTTATTTAAACTTAAGTAGCCTTGGTTGAGTTAAATATCTCTCTCTCTCTCTCTCTCTCTCTCTCTCTCTCTTTCTCTCTCTCTCTCTCTCTCTCTCTCTAACACACACACATATGTAGAAAAGGGTTCAAACAAGAATACTCCAATTTTACAAAAAATGAGAGAACACTTCTCGACTTCCAAAATAATTAACATATAATAAAAATTAGAATAAAAGAAAATTAATTAATATATATCTATAATTTTCTTATATCCTGGATTTATCCTTATCTCTTGAATTTTGTTATTATCATCAGAGACTTTTATATTATGTTGTCGATAATGATGTGATGATACTGTGATAATTATATGATTTTGCTATGATAATAACGTGATAATTATTTGATAAGTCGAAGAATTTTTATGATGTGATAATCATCAAATAATTATATGATTTTTGTTGTGATAACAATGCGATAATGTCGTGATAATCGAAAACCAGCGATGATCATGTCTACATTCATCGCTATGTTGTTTATTATGTGATTTTGTTGTGATAATTATTTGATACCAATTAACATATTGTCTGTATGTGATTTTAAAGATAAAGATGTCACAAAAATTATAGATAAATACGAACTCACATGATTATCCTTAATTAATTAGTTTATTTTCTTTTAATTTTAATTATGAGTTAAATAATTTGATGGCCCATCAATGTTCTCACATTCTCGTAAAACAAGAATGTTCTCATCCAACCAAATGAAAACTCTTTAATGTGTAATAACATTGAGATCT